TAAATACAATGAAGACATACATTTCAGCTGCTTGTGACCGGATTCAGAGAGTACTCACCTACAGCACTTGGGACAAAGGACACATGGCGCACTTTCTTATTAAGTTTGAAATTTTCCAGCGCTGCCAGTTCAACTTCAGCTCCTTTGTCAGCCATCATAAAGAAATGGTGAGAAAAATGTCTAAGTCATTTAGTCTGTTCAGGATCCCCAGTATCAGATGTTTAGACAATTTTTTTTAAAAAGAAAGAATAAGAATAAGACATTAACAAAGATTTTTTTCTTTTTTATGTTGAATGTGTGGATGTTTGTTGTCTCCTATTTATCAAATAACTGACAGTGTTCTTGTTTTTTTCTGCATGTTGCTCCAAGAAAAAGAAATAAAATGTACTTTTCTGTAGTTCATCCCTCTTCTTTGGATTGGGAGGGATCACTGTAAATGCCCCGTAACTGCAACAAACAAACCAAACAAAAATCATCTCTTAGAATTAGATCTTTGGTGGTAAGCAAAATCTAGAGGGGAATATTTTCTGTCACACCTACTAGCATTGAAACACATAGGGATCAATTGGATAATTATGCTCAGAACTATATCAATGATACTATTTTTAAACGACACATTAAACTGATCGGTACACACAGTTCAGATCTCTGTTAGGAATACCTGTTTGTTTTTATTACGGAGAAGGACCTCTTTTACAAACTAACGACGCGACTTGGGGGTTAAAAGAAGAGTAGGATAAACAATTATTTACCTTTGTGTGGCACTTGGAGACTTGTCGTGTTTTTTCTGAGCACGCTGATCGTTCCCACTGCACGTTATAGCTTTAGGCTTTGATGTTACTGCGTTCGGATTTGTTTTTCTCCCATTTGGGGTCTCATAACTAGCACCTCCGCTGGGGTCACGGGCGTTGCTATGGTTACCTCCGGTACAGCCAGTGGCTCTGTTTCTTTTGGAAGCGCAACAAACCGTCGGTAATTTCGGTTTGGCTTCCGCAGTCCTCAGTTTTACAACCCCGGAGTATGACATGCTGCACCACAAACAAAAAAGGAAAAAAATATCCAAATGCAACGTACCGAAACGTTTTAAATTACTTAGGGAAACTACTACGAGCAGTCACAAGGCTGGAGCTAATGACTTGCCACCACTACCTAACATTCAGATTTTTCTACTTATCACGGCATGAGATTTTTAGTCTTGTAGACGAAAAACAGCTATCCCGTAGAACTAAAGGAGAGTCACAGTTTTAGGCAAATATAGACATAAATACCCAATCCGATTCTAATAGACCTTGACAGGATTGATCCGATTAGAGCTCGGGTTACATCTGCAAAGAACTCTGGGAGCTGTAGTCAGTGCCGTGTAATTCTCTTGACCAGCTCTGATGTTGTTTACTGTCTCAGCTGCAGCACCTTATTCTAAGAGTTAAATTGCCTAATCTTAATGGTATCCAACAGATACCAATGATCATTTTGAAACATTCGTAGGGTTTTAGAAACGATTGTGGAAGTAAAATGATTGCCATTTATGAAGACGAAATGTTCTTATTTCAGAAGTTGTCACATAACCCTAGGACGAAAACTAAAAGGGAAGCAAAAGGAGGAAAACTATGTGGTTACATTTGTACAAAGGTGAAATGTGCTGGTGAAATAGTTTAAAGTGTACGTAAAAAAGGCCTGTTGTATGTCATGTGCTCGTTTGTGCATGGACACATTGCTGTACAAAACATTTATACATTTGAGGGGTAATCGGTAAGGTACATCATAAAAGGTGTGTCCTGGGGTTGAGTAAAAGACTTTTGATATCCGAAAATAGCGATATAAATAGTCCTTTCATTTTCATAATTATTTGCTGGAGAAATATGATGGAGATTTGTTGCAGAAATCGCCGGCGAGAGAAATCAGAAAATAGGTATATCCATTTATACGATAGCAAACAATCATCCTCTTCTTGACGATACTGGAGATAACACTTTGCAATGAAACATGTTTGTCGACTTGCATTACTCTAGAAATGCATTTAAATCTATAGATTTTGTTATATCAATTCCAAACTGACTCAAACTGATATTCACACAATTCAAAGAAACGCCAGACACCCAGAGAGGCATATATCGTACGCTCCCCCAGGTGGGCGACCGTTAAATACTATGCGAATGGTATTTTACAGTTTGCGAGTACTTTCTGTCAAAGGTGGGCGACATAACAGAAGCTTTACTGTCGGGTATTAACTGTCAATACATGAGGCAGAGAGAGCGAGAGAGCTGGGTAGAGGGAGGGAAGGAAAGAGAGAAAGAGAGGGAGAGAAGGAGAAAGGTGTTCTGCACGCCTGTTCTGTAAATACAGTAAAGACTTCACAAAAGAAATCTGAAAAGTGTCTGGTTGTGTAAGGTCCTCCTACACTGCAAGTGGTGCTGTATCTATTTTTCCTTTCTGTCTGTACGTAGCTTTTTGTTTTTATCTCCATTTTAGGGAGCATTGACGCATTAAGACATGACTGGGACTGTAGCAGTCTGAATCTGTGGTACGGTCACTTCGAGATGGGTTATGCCTAATGTTAATTCCAGGCAGGTAAATAGATTACGAGAACAACTTAAATTCGTGCATGTATGAGATGCGTAGCCGTTTGAAGAGGAACGGTTATGCAATGACAAATAATTATCTTTCTGTAGCTTATAACTGTAGTATGTGAATGGATATGAAAAGAGGAAAACGCTGTTTACGGCATACCTGCGTATTTCTTTGAGAAACAGCCGCGATTGCACCTTCAGTTGACATGTTCATTAGAGTAGCAGTAAGTGAACGAGATGCCTATATATGCTAGTAAACAGAGCAATCCGCCTCACTTACGCCCTTATAGTAAGATGGAAATCAAAGCTTCAAAAAATAATAAAGTAATTCCTACTACTAAAGCTGTGCGTGTTTTAGGAGCTTTTTTTGTGTGTGGAGATTTTGGAGAAGCGGTCTGTGTCCATTGTAATATGTCAATGTTTGACATTAAAAATGGGAGTTTGTAAAGGCGGACGACTTTTCTGTGAGGTGGTCGTTTTCTGTTTTATTTACCGTTTTTAGATCTATTCTGTATCGTGTTATTTTTCCGGTCCATGGTAATATATCGCTATTGTTTTCAGAACAACACACAGTATAGCTAAGTATTTCGTTTGCTTTTGGGAAGCTTATGGTGTTGTGCATTATTTTGCGGTTTTTTTATCGGCTTTTGACACATTCGGGTTACGGTAATCACTTAAGTGATTGGTTGATTGATATTCATATAAAAGACGCATGACTAATACGGAGTGTTTTCTTAATCTAGACTCGAGGTCTAACTACCATATGTTTCAGATTTGTTTTTTCAGGCTGTTAACCTTTATTCTGTATTACTCTGGGAACTGCTGTTTTGTACCATCTGTACTATGTCTTTAATGTTGTCTTTAAAATGACAGCGCGGAAGTCTAATTTATAAATAGCATAAATATTAACTTGGTTTGTGTGTGTCTGTCAATAAGTGTTGTCAAATATAGATGAACCAGTTTTGCTACACTTATTTTTAGGTCTAAAAATACCGTTTTAAGTGCTGCCTGTGATTATTAAAAGGTGTTGTATTATTTATTTGATGTGTACTTCTAATTAATCTGTCCATCTCCAAACGTGTGTTCATTAAAAGAAAAGAATACGTAACTTTATATTGAATTATTTCATTGTAAATACCAACGACTGAGTATACAGCGAAGTGCGAAATGATCAGGTCATCAAAGATAAGATGGTTTTTGAACGCAAATGTGACAATGCAAGAAGAATGATTAAAATGGTATTCAGTCAGATACAATTTATACGATGGAGAGAATAATTGTATCCATATTTAGGCTTTTTTTGGACAGAGTTTAATAACTAACTCCATGTTGTACAGTATGGAGATTGAATCAAGCCTGCAGAAGATAAAAGACTCAAAAGACTACAGAACTAAGTATCAGTCAATGGATTTTAATTGAGTGGAATTTCATTTAATTGCTGATGTGTTCTGTTAATCAGAGATTACGTTTAAAAAAAAAGTGATTTAGCGTAATGTATGAATATCTGGATGATGTAGGCCTTGTTTTTGCCTTGTCTTCTTTTTAGGAGGCAAAAAGCAATAGCATAAAAGTTCATTTTCGGGTTTTATTTTCTCCAGTCAGCAAAGTTAATATTAATGATGAAACCCCAAATTAAACTGAGAAATACGAGACAAAAATGAACTGTTTTCCTGAATATAGTTAATTAGACTTGTAATACAACATTTAAATTATATTGTATATTCCATGAAGAATAAAACGTTTTTTCAGTGATTATTAAGAAAATTACATGCATGAGTAATGTTTTAATTTTCATCTGTAGTTTATTATTTTTCATGAATTGCCCTTTTCCAAAAGTAGTTGGTTTTGTCAGAAAAGGGTCGCTTGTTTTTTGCTTCTTGCACATTTTGTATTGATTATTTTAAAACATTCACATATTTTAAATTTCTTATGGCCGACTGTTGCTCAAACCTAGGAGAAAATGGTAACTAGAACTGATCTGTCTTAGCTTTAGCTGTGTTTTGAGAACTCCATGAAAAGATAGTGAAGAAGAAGATTTAGTTTAGATAATAGATTTAGTTTTATGTATTACGTTAACAGCTACATTTTACATTCACGAGTACATCTGCTACAGTTTGCAAAGTTCTTTTCTTGTTATATAAATATATTATAACTTCCAGCCGTAAAGGTTGCTGGTGAGGGCAGCGACAACACCGCATACTTGTGTTATGATCCGGAATGTTTCAGATAAAATAAAACGATTCTTTTCAAAGATCAAATACCACTCTGGCTGTTAAGAATTCTAACAACCAAAACGTCTTTGGTTCTTTGATGAGTGTAATTTTAATTATTTTTAGGGGCCTGCCAAAAAAAAGTAGCCTATGATACCGAGATATTCTCAAAGCATTCTAAGACGATTCCATACAAAAAAAAAAAAAACATAAGAGGCCTGTGAATGTTCCATGAACTGAAGGCACAGGCAGTACTGTGATCTACAGAATTACAATAAATGGCCTACAGAGACAGACATAGCAAACAGGAGTGTAAAATGTGAACAGCACTTGCAAATTGCAGCTTTGTTGCGATCTGAAACCGCACTCCTATAGTAATTTCAAACCTGTCACCCTAGACCGATTAAGGATTCAGTGCTTCTCCTTTTATCTGTGCGATTCAGATCAAATCTTGCATTAATTCATTGCGTTTGGAGATTTACATGATTGCGTTAGAATTCCATAAGTATTAGTATAAGAATAAGAATAAGTAAAATGCCAATATTTTAAAATGAAACGTCAATGGTCGTTTTAAGTGAAGGAACTCCAAAGAACTCACGTTCAAGGCGCTCTTTTGAATGTTTCGTGTCTTAATAGATTATTAAGTTTTAAAATGTGTGTTATGAATACAGAAACATTAAGAGATTTTAATATCTGTTTTTCAGAAAACAGGTAACCCTTTTTAAGTTCTAAATTACATAAATTCACGTTTTACAAATGTTTATGCCACACAATGAAATAATGCATTTCTTATTCTCCTTTTTATCTGCTTTAACGTAAATATCAAAACACAAACATTAACAATTGTATCCAAGTGACAAAAATTACTGAAAGATCCTGATATTCGTTATGGTTATAACTGCTTAATTTCTATATACGTCACTGACTCGGAAAAGCGGATCTTATTAGGATAATAACGTACAGTATGGATGTACTGCACGAAATCGCATTCCTTTGTCACTTTAAAACAAGCTTCATTAAAAAAAGAGTTTTAAAATAAGATGAGCAATTAGTGATAAATCTTAGATTTTCTATAGAGACAACAGGAATCATGCATATTGTGCAGCACGAAATGAGAAAATATACGTTTAGTACATTTGGATCACTCTCAACTTAGTCGTTCTTGACATTTTAGTTGATAAGTAAATCAAGGTTATCAAAGTCCATACGTGTTCAAAGACTCGATACACTGCTAAATCCTTTGAAGAAAAAGGTTTAACTGGGTATTCAACTGTAATAAGTTCTCATAGCCTTGAGCTAGATTTTGACGATTTATTATCTCTTGTCGCTATTTACCCTATTCTGCAAGGGTACATTTTATCAGTCTTCAGAGGCACCAGATACCATTTCTAGAGTTCTCAGAGGACTGATTATGTGCAAAAAGAAGAAAATTGAAAATGTTTATTGTTTTCATGAGTCACTTGCCAACTCGTTTTATACCGTGGTATTATTCTGACATCTGAAACAAATTTGTTTTAAAAAGTAAACACTTTCCTCCATATCCGCGTAAATGATAACTTATGTATGGGAATGATCACTGCATTAAAAAGCTACACTCTTCCCCCAGCCGCCTTTATTGTGGAACTTTAGCGCATTTTCTTTAAAAAATGAAAATGCGCTTCAAGGTAATTCGTCTGTTTTTCAACTGAGATTGTTTCTCAGCATGAATTCATACACGCTATCACGAGCAAACACGAGGATTTGAAGATGAAAGTGGAGGGACCGCTCTGAGATACATAGACTGGTGACTCTTTGTGACATATTAACACAAAGGTTTATTTTTTCCTTCCTCCGCTGAGGGGTTTTCTGTCTGGCTGACGGTGGTGTGTCAAACTGACACACCGTGTCAGGGCTGACGACGCCTCTGCTCTGTAAGCCCCGAGGAAATGAACTGACATGGCGGACAAGTCAGGCGGTAGAAAACAGATGAGTTGATCAGAGCAGGGTGTGTTAGATATACATTAAAGAAGTACAGAACTCGTATCTCTTTCCATCACCTATCAAATCCCTGGTATCGTGTTTTTATTGGCGTCTTCATCAGCACAGTGCTCATGCTTGTAAAACGTTTAAGCGATCATCTACATTGGAATTATTGCATATTATCAATACAGTAGATAATGATTGAAAATAGATTTTAATTATCGCACACGCCTGAATCGCAGCGCAGTACGCCAATGACCTGGGTGTTTGGTTAACACGAGACGGTGCCAGAGGCTGAACGCTGAAAACAGTATTTGATTCACCAAGTAGATTTTTTTTTAATTGATAGAGGAACACCAGCTGCACTTTGGACGCCTATTTGTAGAGTGCCACGGTCCTATCTTATTACCAGATATAAATTCATTTTGTCAAGTAAGGCTGAACAATTGAGCCAATATTTTTAATTTTTATTTCCTAAGGCACTGGGAAAAAAAAACAACAACCCCACGGCGCTCCTTGTCGCTCTCCAGGATCAGGGTTGCATACCGCTTTGCTGCTCTCACTTCACCGTCTCTGTACCTGCAGCTTCTCAAGACAATTCACCTAGGAGGGCACACGGAGGGCCTGAAGTAAGATGGAGAACGAGACGAGCACTACCACCTCTGCCCCTGCTACCACTACTGCCAGTTCGCCGTCGTCCCGCACCCAGGCCCCCCCGCCACCTCTGTACAGCGCCCCCACCGACAGACAGGCTGTGCAGGTAACTCTCCCCTCGCGATCCCGCGCCGGCACGCTTCCCCCGGAGAAGCAGTTTAGAAGATGGCAGGAGACCTAATGTTCACCTGACGTGTCAAACGGCGAGGCCCATCATTCCCTGTACAGCTCAGAACACATCTTTGGGTTCGCCCCCAATTCACTATTTTGATCTCGGAACTAATCTGAACCCCCCCCCCCCCTTTCCTTTCTGTAAACGAACAGGGCCGACGCTGGCTTCAACACACACCAGGCGTTTCGTTCGTAGAAAATAGGATTACTTGAAAATAAAAAAAACAACCTCGGATCTTATACCCTCCTTGCAGGATGTCCAATTGTACAATGCATCAAACATAAAGCCTGATCTGGTGAATTTAAGAGAGATCAAAACATTCCTAAGTTCTGAACCCTGTTCACACTACTTAAAACGTGTTTTCCGGTCTGTTTTGATCCAATTGGGATCTGATCAATTATCCTAAAAGCTACAGAGCTGCAAACTATAAAATATGAACACATCTTTAACAGGAAAGAGGAGATGTTGGTGCGTGTTGTGTACAGTGGACAGTTGTGCAGATATCAGGACACTTGATCAGCTGCTGGATGGGCAGTTATACTTGGGCTGGTGAGAGGGGCCTCTCTGAGATGTGTGTCAAAACACTGAGCCCAGGCAGACATACTGTGTAGGCAACCTTGACTCTCCGAGCCTTTCTGCAATGGGTCGATTAAGCAATTGAGGAGCCATTCGGTAATTCAAATTCGCCAGATCGGGCAGAGCCCAGACGGCAGGGAAGGGAAAGGTCTTCCACGATCGGTGTACAGCACCGCAGAGGGACCTGTCTGCTGGCAGGCGGAAAGCAAGAGAAGAAAAGAAGCCCTTGACACAGTGGTGAGGTGACAACGAAGGTTTTGCACCTCCCGGAACCTCAGTGTCCGATTTCATTAATCCATTACAAGCAGCATCAGTACATCCAGAAAAGGGGATGAATTTATTCAATTCAGCACAGAGCTCTCGCACTTGGAAGAGGCACCCTACAGGTTATTGTTTTCCTCCAGTTCTGTAAGAGTTCGGTTGTTAGAGAAATGCTCAGGCCCCTGGTAGTTTGCTCTTCTCAGCACAGTGCCCCAGGGGGATGAGGTCATTTCTCAGTGCCTGGTTGGGTGCCGTTCAGACACACCTGTGGAAGGGGCTCCTCCACACACTCGTCTGGGTGGGTGGGGGTGCGTGTGACTGCCGTGCTGTAGCTGGTGTTGCTCTCACTCCCACAGGTGATCCAGCAGGCCATCCACCGGCCACAGAGCATGGCTGCGCAGTACCTGCAGCAGATGTACGCAGCTCAACAGCAGCACCTCATGCTTCAGACAGCTGCCCTGCAACAGCAGCACCTGAGCAGCACCCAGCTCCAGAGTCTGGCCACAGTCCAGCAGGTGGGGGAACGTTCCAGAACCCCCCCACCCCCAGCCCTCCCTCCCTCCCTCCCTCCCACCGACCATCTTTACATCACAGTGAAACTCGGGACGTAGCGTGTGGGAGGTGTCACCACCTTCCATCTTCAAAAAAAAAAAAGCTCTTTGGGGGTTTTGATTTGTGCCCAGATGAAAACAGAACACCTATCAAGATTTTGGCCTCAATTCAATAGAATCAGTAATGCAAGAGTGATTTTTACATCATTCCATATAGCCACTTACCATTTCTAACCATTAAGCCTTATGCAGAAATCCTGTAGACATTCACAATTAATCACACTCTGCCTGCCTTTCTAATTTGCATATGCTCGTCACATGCTTGCCTCTGCTACTGCTCATGTGTCCATCAACACTTACTTTCATATCTTTTGACACATCATCGCCACAGAGTAATAAAGTGAAATGGGTGAAAAAATTTTCCCCAATGCTCAGACGTGGCTTGCAGCATACGTTTAATGGCCATGACTCGTGGCAAAGTGGTCAAGGGTAACAGTCAGCAGAGCAGTGCTGTTGGTTTGTCACACACACACAGTTTGCTGCATCCCACATCAAACAGTCAATTCTCTCCAAGTCCCCTTTCAGTGCATTTCTTTGGGCCCCACCTCCAGTGTAGCTCGTTTTGAAAGGGCAGACTGTGTGGGTGTGCGCGTGTGCGTGCGTCTGTGTGTCTCCAGTCACAGGCTAGGTCAGTGCCCTCTGACTTCTCACTTCGTTTCACTTCCAGGCGACGCTGACAGGAGGCAGGCAGTCCTCATCCCCCAACGGCAGTGTGTCACAGCAGTCGAATGTCTCACAGACCTCGGTAGGTACAGTAGCTGCACCGTCACTGATGGTCTTTCTGCTCACATGACAGAGACGCTCTGGGGCTTTCACACTAGCAACTGACAGCACGAGCCCTCTGCCCCGCTTACTGCTAGCCTGTGGGCCTCACAATTAGCTCTCTTCTTTTCAAACAAAATGGATGATTTGAAGGTGAGTTACCATAAATTGCATTTTAATATCATTTTTCAGGTTTTATTGATGACCTGACCCTGCCTTTTGGAAAATGTTGGAGTGAAGATTGTAGTTTTTTTTTCTGTTGCCTTGAGGTTAAAATCAGGCGGAGTGATTTCTTTTCGAAAGCTTCAGTTGCCTGAAACCTAACTTTTATTTCTAATGACTAGAGATGTTGCTTCTTTGAAATAACTGCAGTGCCTTCAGTTTCTCACCTACTGTGAGAACATGTCTGGTTTTTATTATATTAAATTTTAGAGGACATCTTTTTTACAAGTACTGTGAGTTCTATTCACTTTAATGACAAACATTAAATAAACATTTAACATAATTATGAATGGATGGATACTAAGGAAAAATTAAGTCAATGTGTATCTTTGTTTTTGCCATTTCTGCGTTGTTGTATTCATTTGATTAAACCATGTGACTTCAGAATCTCCTGAAAGAGGGTGCTTCATATCTCTTTTTGCTGAATGATACAATCTGTTCATAGTGACTTTTAGGAACAAGTAAAACACTGCGATAATAAATTATATTTAAAAAATACATATCAAGTCAGAGCATATGAAATAGCTAGTAAAGGTTTTGAATAAAAAGTAGCACAAAGAAATGAGAAACTAAAAATATCTTAAGTATTTTAGTACTAGTGAATTGTTTTAATACTTTAGAATTGCAATCATAAACTATGAATCAAGCAGCAAGTGGATGACACTAAAATCATTTTCACAGTAATAATTGTGTTCTGGGTACTCAGTGCAAAGTATAGTTCTGAAACTTAAAAGTCTTGCTGGTACGATTGAGGGTTGAATATGCTTGGTGTTTCTCTTTAGTACATTTGACATTCTGTATTTCTTGCTGTTTTGTTAACACCATGAGTCTCATTTCTTAATTCTGACAAATATAATTGTATTCAGAAAAATCCCCAACAGTTTAGAAATGAGTGTGCTTGTCAAAGTCAATCTGCACGCTGAAGTGCTGTTTTTGTGCTGAACTGAGTGGAAGACTGTGTGAATGCTAATGTGCTACCGGCAGAGCTATCCAATTTTGACCTTTTCTATATACTGTAGTTATGTTAACAATACAGTCTATAAGTTCTAAAAATACTCTCAAAAGCTTTGTTGTTTTAATCATCTACTTTGTATGTCATGTTGTTGTTCTAACATGATCAAAACAGTTACAGGATCAGTACATATTGCAATAGGAGTTATTAAAATCACAATCACAGGCACTTAGGTTTTGACTGCTTCCACAGATCACCTAAGAGAAAATATATCTGTTCACAGCTGTAAAATGAAGTCATAAAATGTAATGTAACATGTTTAAGATGAACTGTATGAATGTTGCTTTTACAGTTTAACTTGTGAATATATTTGTGGACTGTTGAAGTGTATAAAAATAAATTCCCAACCTCCTATCACCTCAGAGACACCCTTCCTCTGTGCTTTTTATACAACAAGCTTGCTTTCCCTCAGTCCCTTGCATCCTAGTATTTGATGATAGTGCACAAATTTGATTCCCAGGGCATTCCTGGCTATTTTTAGCATTACACTTTTAACCATAACTCTTATATCCAGGCAAAGAGTGTCGTGAGAACCTGTTTGGGGCAGCTGTCCATGCCACCTGCACCCACTTGACAGGTAGTTATCTCAACAACAACAACAGGTCCACAGTCAGATGCACTACCATTGAACTTCCTACTAGTTTAGGGAAGTGCTCCTCACACTACCTAGTATTCCTTCAGTCCAACTGCCCGATCTCAATCTCTAGACGGAAATGCATGGCCAGCCAGATCCCCGTCTGTCTTATAGTTGCTACGCCTCCACAGCAACCAACCAGACCTGCAGGGCTGCACAGCTTTCCTGTTCTGCTCAGCCCTGCCGTGTCTTTCCTGTGCTAGGGACATGCACTGTGCATTCACTGTTTCATCCATCTTCTGTCTGCTTGCACAGTGCATCCCAGCTCTCCACTGGCAAGTGGATTCCAAAGCCTGTCGTGCAGACGCGGCACTCTCCAGCTCAGCACAGTGCTGTCACAATAACAACATGGTACTGGAAGCCATGAGGTGGCCCAGAGATAAAGATCCCTTAAGGAAATTTGGAGCACCCCCCAACTCTCGGTGTCTTTCCCCTGACAGATCAACCTGCCCTCCTCTCCAGTGACAGCCCAGATCATCAGTCGCACTCAGAGCTCCAGCTCCACCGCTGCAGGGGGCGCAATCTCCCAGCAGGCCATGCTGCTGGGCAACAGCTCGCCCACCCTCTCCACCAGCCAGGCTCAGATGTACCTGCGTGCTCAGATGGTAAAGAGGTCATGGCACATAAAGCTCTATAGCCATCTTCTTCTGTACAGGAAAGTAACCATTTAAAAAAAAATGTGTATTTTATTAGTAGTTTATTTGTTCTATTTTTTAAATGAAGAACTATTTAGCTGTAAAAATGGATGATATTACCCAAAACTTTGTGACTTTACTAGTCATGATGCGTTTGATAGTTTAGTTACCTCATGCTATCGCAGCAATAGACATAATGCAAGTCTTTCAGGTGGGTAGCTGCATCAGCATGCATAGGCTGCAAAGGAACAAGTAATACGTTTATTCCATGCTGAAAAGAGAAGGAAGAAAACACAACGATTCGGCTGTGGAGCCTTCTTCGGGTGTGCACACCCAATGAAGGCTCCACAGCCGAAATGTTGTGTCTTCTTTCTTCTCCTAAAACAAGTCTTTATGTTCTTGTTTTTTAATGTCTGTCTTTTTTTGTTATTACTAAGAGCTTGGCCTTTGCGTTTCAAAGCAAATTCACAGTGTGACATTTGCTTTACTAAATGCCACTGCATTACAGAAACGTTGCCACTTTTTGAAATTTATTCCTGTTGTTTTTCAAGACTGCACACGCTTTTTCTTTAAAAAATGAAAACATTAATCACTTAAATTAATACAATGTACATGAAATGGACATGAAATGGACTACATTTCTTTGCCATAACGCTAACAATTTCAAACACAAAATCGCTGTTAAAGTATTGTAAAAAAATATGCAATGTTTTACGTTTTCTGTTGAGACTATCCAAAATGGAATACTAAAATAAAAATAACTGGACAAATCATTAGACCTGCTCTAAATATTAGCTTAGCCACATATGAAATGAGGACTGTCCCCTATGGTGCATTAAAAAGGAGCTTTAGTGAAGTCAGAATCTAAAGCTCACATGGTATGCTTGGTAAAACAAATATATTCTTAAATCATGTGGACAGCTATCTGTTACCTCATAAAATGTGAAATGTCACAAACATTTGGAAATAATACAGAAGCAAATTGTAAAGAGCCTGCTGTCCACTGCAATCTGTTTAGTCTTGGCCCTGTGTGCACCCATGAGGTACAGTATAGGAAAATACTCTACCTGTGAAATGTGCCTGCTAGTAACCTACAAACAAAAGGCAGACGCTCTCCATACTAAGTCAGCAGAAAGGGATTTTAATGATACTATATGTCAAAGGCGAAAACACTTACATATGGACTGGATGCACCAGAGGTACATTCTCATACATTATGATGTTCCTCTGTCCTGCACTTTTCACCTTTTCACAGTGACAATGACTTACTCACCCTTCAGAAAAATAACTTCCAAGGAAGGTGACTGGTTAGGTTTTCTGTTTTTTCGTTATTTAATAATCATTAGAAATTAGTCGCGATATCAGAACAGTGCATTGAGAACATACTATACCTTTTACACCTCCATCCAAACATTTTTTGTGTTTTCAAAGTTCATGTCCTTTAAAAAAAAGTAAACAAGGTATTAAAAATGGAAATAGCTCCCTACTTACCAGAAGACTGCCTTTTTTTCCACTGACATCCTCCAGCATCTCTCCCCCTCTCTCTGTGGTTTCTCTCTCATAGCTCATTCTCACCCCCACTGCCACTGTTGCAGCTGTGCAGTCTGAGCTGCCTGTTGTTTCTTCAGCATCCTCTCCGTCTGCTTCCACCCAGGTGAGCTGATTCCAGGTGCGGGGCTGGGGGCAGGGGGGGCATTTCTGAGGCTGTTTTACACCCAGACTTAGCTGATTTCCCTATAGACATGAGGTAGGGTGTGCTGTTCCCTGAACTACCTGCGGTTTAAATCAGACTGGTCCAACCTTAATCCTGAAGGCTGATGTGTCTGGGAGCTTTGTAATGATATAAATAAGGACCTTTATTTCTAAAGCAAGTTTAATCCTAAGGATCCCAAAGCATTTTACATCTAGGAGGAGACCCACTTCATTCATCACTGAAATCAGCAACATTACTACCCCTAAAAGTCTTCTATTCTAGTACTGACCAGTCCCAGCTTTTCTGAGCTGCTGAGATCTGAGAAGATCAGGTTATAAAGATGGTAACACTGCAGTGTCTAGGTTTTAGCAGTAACTGAAGCGCTGTTAGCGGAGATGTTAACACGTTAGTCCAATTAAAACAATAAAGAGCAGAGGAAATGTGTAATGAAGCCTTTAGATAGTGAAGCCCTGCAGGTACACCAGCTCTCCAGGACTGAAGCTGAGCCTCCCTGGTTTAGATCATTAGGACACCTCACAGTTAACATTTTCAGGGCAACATAGGATAAACACACATGAAAACAAAACTTGAGAGAAGAGAAGTTGAACAAAATAATGACATGTGAAAAACTGTTTTATTGAAAAAAAAAACATTTACTTACCAAAGCGATTGATGCTAAATGAACCAAAAGGTGTCTAACACATCCCATTTCTATTTTGAACTGTATTTTTAATTTTGTAACCTTGCCCAAACCAGACTGAGTGACTTCGAAAAACCGGGATCCTGCAGCTTTCTTTGAGCTTTCAAAAACGTTTCAGAGTGATGATGTTAATCTGAGGGCTTTGATGCAACACAACAGGAAACCAGATGCGAGGTCAATTTAAAGGCACTTCCTCTGAAAGCCCTGCCTGACTCCTGGTCCTGTTCTTGCCAAGGTCCAGAGCCTGACGCTGAGGGCCCCACCCAGCGCTCTGCCCTCAACACAGACTGTGCCACTCAAGGCTACCACTCAAGGACAACCTCAGATACCCACACACCCCAAGATGTCCCTATGTCCCCTGAAGTCCACTCAGCAGCCCGAAGCCCAGGGGGACGGGGGGAAGAAAGGGGACAGCCCTGGAGCCGAACCCCGAAACACTCCTGTCTCCCGTCTGCCCTCTGCGCATCAGCTTATAGCCCCAGGTAAGTTTAATGCAAAATACAGGAATATGATTTCGTCAAACAGAAGTTGGCTTACCTGATATGACCTCAAACGTTCCTCTCAGCTTCCTGCAGCATAAGGTGTTTTTAATATCTATGTATTAGGATGATAATTGGCTACCAAATGATAACATGGTCTGAAAACAAAACAGTATTTCATACTGAAGCTGATGTTGTCCTCGCTGGAAATGTCTTTGCCAAAGTTTGTTCCTGACCAATGACATCACAGGGATTTAGGGTAACAGCAAATATGTGAATTGTGTGAATTGGCCAGCAACAGATCTAGAAAAGGCCAATGGGAAATAGTTTGGTGTATTGTTAACTATTAGTAAACTATCAACTGCAAAAGCTAATGCCACAGTTGTAGAAGAAATTTTGGAGACATGAATGTCTCCTTAAGACTGCAGGCTAGAGCTGATTTGACCTGTGCGTGTCTGAGTATTGTCCATGGGGACTTTTGCAGCACCATTCCCTCCAGTACAGCCTCACGCTCTGATGAAGCACCAGCTGCATTGCCCAGCCGGACACAAGGGGGCGCACCACCAGCTCATTATACAGCAGCAGCCAGTTGCTCCTCACAGGCAGGTCCAGCCAATCGCGCTCCAAGTCACGACGCAAGAGACTCCGCCCCCCTCCCAGCACTGCCTGTCCGTTCAGCCACAGGTGGCCCCGCCCACCAACCTGGTTTCCGTCCAATCGCAGCACTGCACCTCCATCTCCTCCGCCGCCGCCCCCCCGGCTCCCTCTCCCGAGCAGTCACAGCCTGCCGCTCAGCCGACAGTGGTCGTCTCCCCTCCGCCCACGCATTCCCCCACCAGCCATTCCCCGACCATCATTATCCAGCCCCAGGCACTGGTCGGGACCCAGGCTCAAGCCCTGGTCTCCGCCCCCATGCAGCTGGGCCCAGCTCAGCCACCGCCTCTCAGCTCCGCCCAGGTTCCTTCCAGTTTGTCCTCCCACCTGTCTCCTTTGTCTTCCTCGCTTGCGTCGATTGACTCCCTGCCTCAGTCTGCGTTGGTGCCCCCGGCGACCGTACCTACCCCTCAGCCCCCTCAGCACTCCCCCCCACCTCAGGCAGCCGCCGGGCCCCTGTCATCTCCTCCTCCTCCTCCGTCTGGCCCCCCGGAGCTGCCCCACCCCTCTCCCACCTCGCTGCAGCCTCTGCCCCTGCCGTCGGTCCAGGCTCTGGCGGTGCAGTCTGAGGTGCTGCCCGCGGCGCCAATGCTGCTGTCTGAAGAAGAGCTGCCCGTGGCTGAGGCCTTGGTCCAGATGCCTTTCCAGACGCTGCCCCCTCCACAGACCGTCGCTGTCGACCTCCAGGTCCAGCCGGCCGCGCCGGTGGAGACCCCAGTGGTGAGGTCTTTGGGTTTCTGTGTCACACATGTTCCTCACACACCCCACACCCTGTCTCCCCCTGCCTTTTAATTCCCGTACCAAGGTGCTTGGAGGGAGGGAGGGGAGGAGGGGGGGTGGATGTGCGGAAACGTTGTTTGGTTGTGTTATTGCTTTTTTTGTACCAGGAAATTTTTAATGAATAAACGTTTGTTCACGAAAAAGATCAAGAAAAGGCACATCTTTAAAAGTTGGGGGCTTCAGCTGACCATTATTGTAATTTCCCAAAGTCAGTGAATTGTAAACATGGTAAAGCAGCACCCAACAAACAGTAACATCCGTGGTGATGAATTGAAGACTGCAATTGGTAGGTCCTGGACAATCTCTTTCCTGGATGTGCTGTTGTGTGTGTTCACGCTTTGTGTATTGTGTTGGGTGGGGGGCCAGGTGCAGCAGGTATATGAGATGGAGGGGATGTGTGCAGAGGAAATGAGAGAAGACGGATTATCCTGTCCACTAAGGGATAGGACTCCCACTCCCCCTGCTTTGTCGCCGCCTGCTATTCCCGAGAGGCACTGCGAAGACATGTCCATGCATTCAGAGAACTGCTCAGGTACCTATTTAAACTTCTGCACTTTGTAACAAAAGATGTGTTTTTGCCTGATCTATATTGTGTGTAACCAAAGATATAATACAATATAAGCTATTGGAACTCAGAAGGTTCCCTTTCCTAAGTCTCAGAGCAGCGCAATGACATTCATGTGCTCTCACCTACAGCTGTTACTAACCTGCCCTGTGTAACGTCAACTGGCAACGCCTCCGTGATCAGATCTTCTGCGGATCCCACTTACGTCAACAGCTCCCCCCCTCCCCTCCTGCCAGCCGTGGTAAGAAGTACCAGCAAGCCCCCCCAAGCAAGCCTCCCGGGGGTTCCTGACAGCAAGCCCCCGCAGGCGATCGTTAAACCCCACATCCTCACGCACCTCATTGAGGGCTTCGTCATCCAGGAGGGGCTGGAGCCGTTCCCGGTATGTCCACAAGAGGAAGCTGCCGAACTACAGAGTCACTGCCTCTGAGGGGTGTTAGTGCAGCCCACGGTGTCCGATGGCATGACACCCCTTTAACTAGGAGCTGAAGGAGGGCCGTAGATGTCAGAGAAGGCATTATACATGAACTTTCACTATTGATAGAAGTGTTTTTCTTGTACCAGCCCTTGATTTCCATGGTTCATATCCATTGACACGGTCCACATTTTTATACCAAAGAGCTCGGTATTCTCAGAACATGCTTCACACCAAGTGCTCTTTAAACACGGAGGTGGATGGTTTCAAATTCTGACGCATTAATGGCTCAAAAAGAGGAGTGTTTTGACGTATGTACATGTACATTGGAATTCTTATTTGCGCTGATCTCTTACAAAACAGCAGATGACACAGTACAACGGACAACATAGATAGTACAATACCACACAAGAAAGAATCCAACCAGAACAATAAATATGTATTGGTGAAAGAAAAAAAAACATGGTAGACCTTAGAAAAGTCTGGCATAGTGGAGACGTGCATCGAGTCTGAGGCGTTGCAGTTAGCTGTGGTGGATGCGTACTGCAGTAGGGTATAAGCTGCCCTTCAGCCTAGTGGTCCGTGCTTTAAAGGTGTGGTACCGCTGGGAGAGAACAGTTTGTGGCCGGGAAGGCTGGGATCCTGAATGATGGACTGGACTTTGTTGCGACAGCGGAGGGTGTGGATCCCACCGATCGATGGGAAATCACATCCTATAATCCTCTGTGCCAATCCCACAACCCTTTGTAGGTCATCTCTGTCGTGCATGGTAGTCTTGCTGTGCTACACAGTGATACCACTAGTGAGGACACTTTCTACTGTGCTGCGGTAAAAGTTCACGAGTAGCACGTGCCCCTGAAGTACAGTATCCCCGCCTCGTCTTCGGTGGCAACAGATCTGGCCGTGAGCTTCACGCCCCGTCGGCTGTCTTGTGCTGCAGGTCAGCCGCTCCTCCCTGATGGTGCAGCAGCAGGTGAAGCAGCCCGAGGCCCAGGTGCTGAAATCGAACGGGGGGCAGCCGGAGGCCCTGCTGGAGCCCGAGCAGCCTGAGAACTCCAGCGACACCGACATGGACGACATGACTGCCGAGGGTGAGCAGCCGAGCTCTGACGGAGCCAGGGCGAGCGCCCTCGTCTTGATTTTAAAAGACGCCGCCCACCGGAAGAGGAATGTCATGAAGGCCTCCTGTAGATCTCTGTCTTCCACAGAACAAACACTACAGTGTTTTGTTTTTGGTCAACGACAAAGCTCAGCGGGACTCCTCTTTTTCAGAGACACGTTGCATCTTGTTTGCAGCCAAGAACAGTTTAGATTTTAAGAATGTGTGACGCAAAAACAGCTTTGTTTGGGTTTCATAGTTCTCAGAAATATTCTGGTAAATATTTCACAGGCAATGACGTTCTTTAGTTACTCGGGTAAAGCAGACACAGAGAGCTGTGGAGAGATGGCTCTGTGGTTCCCAGAATACTCTTCAGCGGTTAAGCCCAACCATCACGGTGGGTGGCAAGTATCTCTGAGAGTTTGTCCTCTCAATCTGAAACACTGAAGCACTGCAGCTTGTCACTTTTCCTTACAGACGGCGTGGAGGAAGCTGCTACAGAGGTGCTGAAGTGCGAATTCTGTGGGAAGAGGGGGTACGCTCACAAGTTCCTCAGGTCAAAGAGGTTCTGCTCAATGTCATGTGCCAAAAGGTAAATTACCTCCTCATTTTTAATATATGAATGTTCAATTTTGCTCATTTGAAGAGAAATATTTTTTTTCCTCCTCCTACATGCTAAAAGAGTCAGGGATCATAATGAAATTGATGCCTCTTTCAAAGTGGTGTAACAATCATACAATTATGGACAGGATATGTATGTGCTACATATATTCTGTATATACCTGGTATATGAATAACCGTTATCATCTACTAATACTGAAAGATCGCTGATGACTGTAGTTATACCATACAAAGTTGGCAACAGGCAACAGGCCACAGACATACAAAGCTTTTAGAACTCAAAATGTCACGCATTTTTCCATTTAGATCTCAGTTATTCCTGTGCATGTCTAAAAACTCAGAAATTCTCTTATTTTTAAGTGTTTCTTTGTACCTGTAATCTACCCAATTTTAGTCCAATAAATTAAACTCCTTTCTAAGGTACTGAAAGTTCAAAATATTTACAGATTTCCAAGCCTTTTGTGCTGCTTGCTAATATCAAAAGGGAAATAAAATGTGATTGATTAAAACATATATAT